TAATCGGTAAAGTCACGTACTACTGCAAACTTAATATTTACTTTCCTCCTTATCCTGTAATCCTTGCTCTATACAACAAGTTATGCTGATAAAGAATTGTATCAAGGAAGCCAGAGGTGGCACGAATAAATGTTTGTTATATTCCTCAACTGGGAATGAAATTAAACTATGTAGGCCAGTCATTAGAGATAATCAATTCACATTAATTCAGTTTCATTAATATTGTCAACACTGCAAGTTAATTATTAATATATTTTTTTTTATAAATTCTTTATTACAATTAACATTGTAAAACTTTCAGGATAATATGTCGTTTCCAGATTCATGTTAATAACTTTATTTCAAAACTCAAACAATACAGTTTTGGGTTACGAAGGTGTATAATTTTCCACTATTTCAGGAGCATAATTATAGAGAAGGTGAATAAAATTTGCAAAAATTTAGGTATTTCCAAATAGTAAACGGTGAAAATATTTGGATATATAATGCGGGAATAGTGGAACTCATGCATCATTTATACTTTTGTATAGTAAAACGAATGAAAATAATATGGATTTGTTTTTTCTCATTATTTTTAAATTACTTTTAGGTCAATGAACGCTTTAAATGAAATTATCGGAATTAAACTTAAAATAAATTTAAACTGTTACGGTAAATGTAATTATTCTTTTTCTTTTTCTGTATTTTTTATGCCCTCTTGCCTGAATTAGGAAACGGGCCAGTTGTATTAGACTTTCTTTTAGAAAAGTGCATTTTACGATGTTTGCGAGCCTTTACCCATACTCTTCTGGGCCTAATTTCTGTATTGGGATCCCGTTTAGCGATTCACTTTCGAATTGCTGTAAAAATCATACATAAATTAAATCGCGAAAAAGTCAAACTTCAAAAACGTTAATTCTCCCCAATTATTTCAAACATTTTAATAATATTGACTTCGAATAATCTCGACATTAAAATTTTAACATGCTATAGTAGTTTCACAAGTCTTCTATTATTGTGCAATTAGTCAAATAATTCTTGTACGCTGGTAATTGTATTGCGAACATCAACTAATCGAATTTCAAGATTGTAGCGATGCTAACAAACGCTACAGATAATAGCGCACAGTGGGCTCGGAGACACTGAAAACTGTCCAAAAACCAACTTCGAAATTAAAATAAATGTATGTTGTTACATTGAAGTTCTGCCGTGCAAAGGCAGAATGATGAGTTTTGAGAAAAATTGATTTTAAACTACATTTGTTTGCCAAATTGTTAAATATTTCACAAATGATGTTATACTCACAATTTAGTATCATTTTTACCTGAATAATATATTCCATAGGTAAATTACACATAAATATTAGCAACTTATTTTTTTGGTTGGTTACATTATTTTTCCAAGAACAAAAATGGCAAAAAAACTTGGGCAAAATAATGTAGAGTACTGTACGTTTTTTCCCATTGTTTTGATAGTATATAAGAGAGGGACTATATGGCTAAAATAATGTACTGCCTTTACAGTTTTTAGTATTTTTATATTTCAGAATAAAAAAAATAACACAAGAATGTTGTCTTTAATGCAAATTAACTTTAATTTTTATTTAGGAGTTCTTATAAGAAGCTTAAAAATTTAAAATTTCAAAATATTTCAACCCTTTAACTACGGCTGTCGTCAATGGACGACGAAAGGAAAATTTCCTGAGGAGCGGGTATCGTCAATAAGCGATTTTAAGAATTATATGCTGGAACGGGTGTCGCTCATTGACAATTCTATTTATTTTTTCAAGATTTATTATCGTCATTATTAGACAAGGGAATGGGACTTTCGTTGTTTATTTATTTGAGAATATGTTGATGAAAAAAAGCACGTGTTGTGTTTATGAAATTCAATAAATACCCGTTTGTTTACCTCATTTATTTTTATTACTTTCCTTTCAGATTTTTAGGGTCTATATTGCGTATGTAAACTTAAAATTTTAATTTAGTAGAATCATTCAGTAAATGTAGTTGTACTTTCATTGTTTTATTATAAAAATTATTTTTTGCTAGTCGCATTACAAAAATGGATTTACCATCAACATCTCGTGGTACTCGCGGTTCAAAACGATCAAGAACAGAATTGAGTGACATTGATATATACAGTGATGAAGAAGAAATTCTTTCACTTAGTGACTTTGATAGTGTGAGTGATAGTAGCGAACGAGAAAGTGACTCAAATAGTGATGGGGATGAAGAAACTGTTGTTGGAGAATTGCGATGGCAAAATTGCGTTATTTTCAATCCTTCCATTTATAATTTTGACACTGAAAATTCTGGCATATCTGGCGCATTTGAAGTAGATGATGAAGATAACGAGTATGCGTACTTTGCAAATTATTTTGATGAGGATTTGATGTCAACAATTGTAAATGAAACTAATAGATACTATGAAAACAATGCTGAAAATGATCCTGCTCCAAAAAGAAAACCATGGGTGCCAACTGATATCAATGAAATGTACAGTTTTCTAGCAATAATTTTGGCAATGCCACATATAAAAAAACACAAAATTTCGGATTATTGGTCAACAGATCCAATTATTGCTAGTAGTTTCATCAGCAAGTACATGACAAGAGACAGGTTCACGCAGCTATTGCGCTACATACATTTCGCTGATAACAACAACCCCCCACCCCCGGGCAACAATGATAAATTATGGAAAATAAGAACCATATTCGAAGAGTGGAATAGAAAATGTGCAACATTTTTCCATCCGTTTCAAAAACTTGTCATTGATGAATCCTTGATATTGTTCAAAGGGAGGCTGCACTTCAAACAATATATACCGTCAAAGAGACATCGATTCGGAATAAAAACGTTTGTGTTGTGTGATTGTGAAACCGGAATTGTTTTGAATATGTTAGTATACACTGGATCTGAAATTGACATTCCTCAAAATGATCCCCTAGGTGTTTCAGGTGCGGTAATAAAAAAACTTATAGCAAACTATGAACAAAAGGGACATTTGTTGTATACAGATAATTGGTATACTAGCCCCAAACTAGCCATTTATCTAAACGAACGAAACACAGGTTTATGTGGTACAATAAAAAAAAATAGAAGACACTTTCCAAAATTTTTACATCGTGTGGCACGTGGAACGTGCGAACGCCAAAAGTGCGGAAATGTTATGGCCCTCAGATGGAAAGACAAGCGTGATGTGCTAATGCTATCAACATTTCACCAAGGAACCTTGGAAAATAGCGGAAAAATAGATCATCGAACTGGTGAAAATATTTTCAAACCAGACTGTGTAATAGATTATACGCAAAACATGCGTATGATTGATAAGTGTGACATGCAGTTAGCTACCGTCGAGTGTGTCCGGAAATCAATCAAGTGGTACAAAAAACTATTTTTCCATCTGGTTGATGTTGCTATGCTAAATGTATATAACATGTATTTAGTAAAAACAGGAAGAGTTTTACTACGACTGAATATATTTATAAGGAAAGTCGTCCAACAAATTTTAGAAAGGCATGGAACTCTGACTGCTGCTAGACCAGGGAGACAAAGCATGGAAGTAATTGATCGCTTAGCTGCAGTAAATTTCATGGAAAGGCATTCTCCCGCATATGTTCCACCCACTGGAACTAGACAAAAGGGGCAAAGGATTTGCCATGTATGTTCCAATACCGACCGTGGTGTAAGAAAACGGAAGTATGTTACAACTTGGTGTGCTGAATGTAAAGTAGGACTTTGTATAGGCGAATGTTATAAAACTTATCATACTAAAAAAAATTTCTGATTTTTTCGCAGCCTGTTCTATTGAATAAAAATAATTTTTCTTAATGTTTCGGCCGACATAAAGCAGTCTTCATCAGAGCAAAAATCCAGTACACTTTCAATATTGTATCATTTTGTTATTTCACAGTGTATTTTTATAATCGCTATATATGTATAGATATGTTCTCTGAATTATAGTTTTACTTTCAACCCTACGAAATAAACTACTGTTTATAAGAAAATTTGTATTTATTATTGTCACGTTGTACGTATTTTTATAAAGAAAAAATGTCACGATTTACGTGTTTTAAATAATTGTGGGACTATCTATGTCCCGGGGGTTACATAACAAAATATATGAATTTGGGACTCAATCACATTAACAGTATTTAGCCTTAAACTTGGCTTCGTAGCCCTTAACTGTATAAGGGTTCTACTCTTGATGTCAGAACCTGACACGTCTCTGTAAAAGGGCTGAAGGAAACACAATGTTTTCTCAAAACAAATATAATATTAAAATTACAATTATTATACAAAATATGTCTTAACTCGACATACACAAATACGGGCTCAATATAATAATAAGTAATAATAAGTACACAATACATAAAACGTAGACTTACCAACTCATCAATATTTGGGACACACGTCACAACTCTTGCCCGACTATTAAAACGCAATTTTTCGACATACAAAATAGACTTTTAAATTAGACTATGAAGGTCTAAGCTGGAGCTGCTACAGGGAGTCTCCTACAAGGGGGACCTCCTATGGGAAGGATCCGTTCCCTGTGGAAAAAAGCCTCGTGCATCCCCTCGACATTACCTTTATGGTTTTCTCATCGTTTATTGTTATTCAAACTAATGTTTAATAATTATTAAATAACCAACCTTGCACATTATTGCTATTTAAAACAAATTGTTGACATAATTAAACAAAGTTTTATGTACAGGATGTTATTTAAATAATTAATTAAAATTAGGAAAAATATGAATTTATACGAATCGTGACATTATAATAAGGACATTTTTATGATCCAATGTGTGACTTGGACAAAAAATTTATGGCATTATTTTTCTAAAAAATTATTTTTTTCTCTCGAATATATGGGGATGGCTATAAAAGAGGAGGGTAGTTATTAACTCCGTGTACCCCCTCTAACTTTTTTATTCTTATGTACAAAACTCATCACATATAGATAAGGAATAAATCTGTTCACATTTACAAAAAAATTTAAAATTTTTTGTTTTGCGTTTAGACAAAGTCTTTTGTCCATATATAAGCGTAGCTAACCTTCTTCCAATAAATCTGGAACATTAAATTTGTGGGCAAATTTTCCCAAAATAACCTTTTTGATGGTTTCATCGCAGGTACTAAGGCTTTCATAATATCATCCTTCTTTTTAGGAGATACTCCACGAACCGTGGTAAGCGGTTTGGGTATATTTAGTTCTGTTTTTCGTTTAATTAAATTTTTTGTTTCTTTATATTGTTCGTCACGAAAATCAGTTTTATAAAAAAATTCTTGTTGGCCTTTTATAAATCGTACTTCCACTATATCTTTTAAAAATGACACATCGTCTCCCACAGATTTTTTCTTTGCTGAACCAGTAGCACTTTTACACACATTCTCAAATTTCATAAAGTCTGAAATTTCAAGACATATAACTTTATTTCGGGACACTGCTTTATTACAGGCCTCAGCAAAATCGTTAAAATCTTCAACATTGCCAACTTTTTTTACATATTGCTCTATTTTTCCATGAAGGCCATCCGCAGCCATGTATGTATGACCAGTTAAAAGGTATTTGAGAGTTATATTTTTAGTTGTGCAATACTCAGAATTAATATAAACAATTAGAGCAGAATACAAGACCCAATTTTTATTTTGGCCGGTAAAATTATCCATCCAAATAATGAGGCTTTCTGCATCTCTTTGCAACTGAATAAACTTAATAAATGAACATGCCACGTCATCGGCTCTTCGCCCAGCTTTGCCTTCATGCCGCAAAATGCAATAATGTGGTGATTTCTTTGATTTTCCTTTAACAGCAAAGGTTTCGTTGAATGCGACAAGACGTGAAGTAAAAAATGAGTCTTTAACTTTTGGCATCCTGGGCAAAAGAAATACCTTTTGCAAGTCCGCTGAGTAAATCTTTGTTTCTGAATCCTCGTTTTCAGCATCTTGTACATATAAAGTTCTTCTTAAGTTAACCTAAAACAAATTATTATAAAACTTAAAAGCAAACACATTTTTTTTTACTTACTTCTTCTAAATGTAGCTGTTTTTTATTTATATTTTCTTCAGTTGGAGTTAAATCCAATCTAATGCAAGTTCTGCATTTCGTGGGCTGAGAACCAGAGGGTTCCAAGCGCCAAATCTAAAATTGTTCAGAAAATCAATATTAATGTTTGACATTGGTAAAAATTTATTAAACGAAGTAATTATCTGATTTTTAAAATTTTATGTCATTATTCATTTATTTTCTAAGTAACTTGTGCTTATGTGATTTTATATAGATTATAAAAATAAGTAATATACATTAAAGTTTGAAAATTTGACTGTACTCAGAACCTTAAGAAAAGCTAAATTTAAAAAACCAGAAGGTTTCAAGCGACAGTTTAATGAAAATGAATATAATTTATTAACAAAAATTTGTGAAATTGAAATACAATTAATAAAAAAATAACTTTTATTTAAATAGGTAACTATAATTGTTTAAATGGCAACAACAGAACATAAAAAAAATATATAATGTTAATCAAAAAAAATTATTTATTTTTAAATTCTGAAATAAGGGCTTTCATGTAAGTTTTATCTTCGAGTGGCATCCATTTATAAGCAAATTCTATTGACTCAATCTTTTTGTTTGTAAAACTCTTAGTTTTAAAATTTTTTACAGGCTCAATACTGAAGGTTGCATCCATCCTATTTAGTTCTTTAGATGTAAGTTTTTCTTTGCGACCTTTTCTAGTTTTTACTTCTTTCTTTACATTTGTTTTAATAAATTGTGAAGAATGATTTTCCACTTTATATTGCACCTCAAAAGGACTACCTTGCAAAAATTTTAATTGGCAGACTTTGCCGTAAGGTACATTACCATAAATGAAACTATCTATACTTTTTTTATAATCAAAAAAATGTTTGGGCTTCATGTTAATAACGCAGAAAGGCTTTTTTCTATCAGACTTTAGCAAAAGTTTTACAAATGCAAGTGGGGACCATATATCTTGTACTCGCATAAATTTCTCGATACGGGAATGAATGTTGTCAACAACCTGTATACAGGAATGCCCGGGTAAGGAATATTTCATTGTTATATGTTTGATATTTCGATACCTCTGTAAAGAATTAGCTACAGCTAATCAGATAAAACTGTTCCTATTTTGAGGAACACAGCTGTCGCTCCAGGTTATTATTTCTGTAATGTTGGGATTGTTTATAACAATTTTTTCAAGAATTTGCATCACTGCACTTGCCAAGTCATTTCCAGATCTACCGCATGTAGTTTCTGACCAAACAACGCAATAACATTGCTTGTCAGTGGAATTATGTGCAGTTAAGTTATAAACATTCATTTTTTGTTTATAAAACAGGACTGAAACATCTGATTTTGGTACATTAATAACATTTTGTCAATCAAAACACACGACAGCATAGTTCACATCTGTATTTTTACCATCTTGTTCCCGTTCTGTTCTCATTAGGTTTTTCTTTAAAATGTGCTGGCTGTTTAACAATTCCAGTTCTTCACTCATTCTGTTCTCCCGCTGGGCAATTTTATACTTTAAGATATTAATTAAAGATGTTTTCATAATGCAAAACATTCATCGAGTGTATAAAAAGCATTAGTTACCAGGAATTCTTTAAGAAGACTTTTAAATTACTCAATACTTCTACATTTCTTTATGACTTGAGATCATTTGTTATAAATTCTTGGACCTATATAATTTGACGAACAATAGGTTACTTTCCCCCTGGCTAGCGTCAAATAAAGAAGATAGTTTTGTCTCGTTGGATAACTGTGATATTCATTATTGTAGATAAATCGCTGTTGCTAGGTACACGCTAAAGTGTACGCAAATCAAAAAATTATATACACGCGAAACGTCATATTGCTGTGGTAGGAGGTGTTTGTGTGAATGCGTCTTGTTTGTTTTCATTTACGCCGTGACTAGCACAGTAGTATTTTATAAACCTTAGAAGCAAATTTCACATACATGAACAAATAATAATAATGTCGTGACAAAAGGAAAACGAAGCAACGACTTCTCGTAAGGTGGCGGCTTCGCCGCCACAAAAAAATTTCAATCCATACCTAGCTACGACCGGCGTAGACACCAACAACCTGCACTCAGCTCACCTACTCTGTCAAGACGTTTCGCGTGTATATAAATTTTTGAATTGCGTACAAGTTAGCGTGTACCTAGACACTGTGTAGATAAATGGACCAGGCAGCCGGCTTATGGAGAAATGGGTTCCGGTTAATATGCCTGAGTTTTTGGTATGTTAAAGATATCGACTTCCTGAACAATAGTGTCCATGGGCACAACTCAATCCTATGGCCAATTTTCAACATACAGGGTGATGAAGTTGAAAAATGGCCATTTTTTAAAACGTATTAAAATGTAATTTTCTCAATATATTAAGGATTTTTTGCTGTAATAGTATTCTGATAACTTCAAATAATATTGATTTCTGTAGAAAAAGTATTATTTGATACAGGGTGATTCAAAAATCACCAAAAAAAATATTGATGCTGTGTATTCTACTTTACCGTGGGAATATGAAAATATTAATATATGGTCTAAATTACCTTTAGTTGGACTTATTATAAGAAGGTATGAAAACATTTTATACAGGGTGAGTCAAAAAGTTGATCGACTCTGCAAGTTATTTTTAATACAATTTTATATATTTTGTAATACAAGTCAGTAGTCGACATTGAACCATTTTCAAAAATATATAATTTATGAATTAAATACAGGGTGATTCAAAGGATATATGAGGTAGAAAATTACGAAAATTGATTTTTTCTGCGAATCACCCTGTAATTTAATATTTCCTCCGTTAATTTCTCTAATTTTTTCTTACTGTCTTTGATTTGAGTTTGTTAGTCCCCTATAGACGTTTTGCGAAGTTACTATGATCAGTTTTTTTATATCGACTTTGTGATGACAAGCCTGTCACAATGTATACGCTTATACCTGAGCTCATAAATATGTTTTTATTTTATTTAATCATTCAGGATTTATGTCATTCTAACGTTATTTGTTTAAGGAAATATAAATAATATGTAACCTATAAATAAACAATGTATTAAGATTATTAGTAAGATGCAAATATTATTAGTGAGCCAAATATCCGAAGACGCAAATATTATTATGTTTTTTCATTAGACATAACCTCATCTTATTCATAACCAAACTAGTTGATGCTTGTCGAGAAGGATATTGAAATATAACTTTAAAAAATTATCTGATACACTATGTTTAATTTTTAGAAAAAAACTTGTCAAGTATTTTCTTGATATATTTCCATCTTGTTCAAAAAAATTGAAACAATTCGTTGAAAATATTTTTTGAATTCTTTGATATTGTCTCAGAATTAACGTACTTTTTCCAGCTAAATCCAATACTCGCATGATATATAACGCTAATGATAATTTTCGGAGGCTTTCTATTGAGTGTAGATATTTATTATTTCTTAGTTATTCCTGACTATGTACAAATGTGACAGCATTGTCTTAACAAAGACGGAACTATTTTGAACACATTGCATGAAAAAGGAGTTTGAGTATGAAATTTAGATTGCGCAACTCATTTACTTTAAAAAAGGTACTCTTGATAAGACTCGATTACTCTCATGGTTTTCGCTAAATTTCTGTTTTAATAATTTAGAGTGTATAAGTTTCACAAAAATATTTATTTACAACATAATCAAAATAAAGATTTTATAAAAATTGTTCAAAATGTTCACCATTTTTACGCATACAAAGATTTATACGTCGAAGAAAATTAAAATGTATCCTTTCCATAACTTCTTCATCACCTCTAAGATTGTTTATTGCATCTTGAATACGTTGCCAGAGTTGTTCCTCATTTTCTACAGGTTCCCTGTAAACTGTGGATTTCAGATGTCCCTATAAAAAGTAATCCATCGGTGTTAGGTCTGGAGAACGTGGTGGCCAGTTTACAGGTGCGTCATTATCTCTGTCTATCCATTTGTATGGATATTGTTCATTCAAGTGGTTTCTAACGTTTAAAGAAAAATGTGGTGGAGCTCCATCTTGCATAATTAACATATCTCTCCGAAGTTGGAGAGGTAAATCTTCCAACAATTCTGGAAACGTATTTTGTAGAAAATCCAAATAATTTTCTCTAGTTAATCTTCGTGGAAGTAAAGGGTTTTCCAATAAGAGGCCTATAAAGTTCAGTTAAAACAAGAACTCAAGCCGGCCGATCATCAACAACGTCATGTCTTTGCCGATTGGGTCCTTGAAATGCATGAAAATGATCCGGAATTCCATAGAAAAATCATCTTGAGTGATGAGGCCCATTTTCACCTCGGTGGCTTCGTCAACAAGCAAAATTGTCGCATCTGGGGCTCGGAAAACCCAAGAGTTATTGTTGAAAAGCCTCTCTATCCTCAACGTGTGACTGTTTGGTGCGGTTTATGGTCCGGCGGGGTCATTGGACCTTACTTTTTCGAAAATGAGGCTGGAGCACCAGTTACGGTGAATGGATTGCGCTATCGAGAGATGATTAATGATTTTTTATGGCCGGAATTGGATGGTATTGATCTGGACAACGTTTACTTTCAACCAGACGGCGCTACGTGCCACACAAGCAACGAAACCATTGATCTTTTACGGGAAAAGTTTCCGGACCGTGTTATCTCTCGGGGAGGTGATCACAATTGGCCACCGAGATCTTGTGATTTGACACCTTGCGACTTCTTTCTTTGGGGCCACGTAAAAGAGAAGGTCTACGCCAAGAGCCCAGCGTCGATTCAAGACCTCAAAGATGGAATTCGTGAGGCTATCGAGGACATAGGGCAGCCACTTTGCGATTTGGTTATGGAAATTTTCATGAAAAGGATATGGTCCTGCAGGCGTGGTCGTGGTGGTCATTTGGCTGATGTTATTTTCCATTATTAACGGCATACCTTCCTCTTTATAATAAAATAAACATCCGATCATTTATCTCAAAAAATGGCATTTTCCTTTGAATATCAAAATAACACCTCTTATTGGAAAACCCTTTATGACAGGACCAACAATGAAATTACCAATTATTCCAGCCCACACATTAATTTTAAATTCGTGCTGAAAATGGTTTACCTTTATTGTATGCGGATTTTCAACGGCATAAACATGTTCATTATGGGTATTAGTTATATCTCTTCTTGTAAAACCCGCTTCATCGGTAAAGAGAACCTTCTTGACAAAGTTTGGATCTCTTTCTCTTTGCATATTAACAAATCGACAAAAACCCAAACGAATTTGAGGATCATGGACTAATAATTCTTGTTCTGGCTTCTTATGGTATGGATATAGCAATTGTTCTCTAAGCACTTTATGAACGACATCTTTACTTACTCCTAGTTCCCTTCCAATTCGTCTGGTGCTTAATTCTGGATCTTCTTCAACAAGTTCTAAAATGTCTTCTTCAACTTCAGGAATCCTTACAAAACGTTCTCTTCCATTATCAACAGTGTTGGGAGCAAAGGAACCGGTCTCCCGAAGACGTCTCTCAACAGCAGCAAAAGTTGGGTGGCTAGGTACACGACGATTTGAAAACCTTTCAGAGTACACCCTGACACTCTCTCGAGCATTTCCTTCACAAAATCCTAATGTCAGTAACATATCGGTATATTCAGCATTGGTATATTGTACAGCCATATTAATAAACCAGGCATTTGTTTTTTTAATTATTGAGTCAGATAGAACACTTTCAATCGTTAACAAGAGATTAGGTGTTAAAACTTGACAATATTTTTATTTAGATGAAACTATGGAAACCAACAATAAATGTTTTTGTATACGTATTGCAGGCAAATAATTAATATTCCTCAAAAAATCGTACATGGCAAGAATCGAGTATTTTTGTTAAAAGTCTCGATTAGAGGTGTTGAAGAAGATATGAAAAAAGTACATTTTTATGTTTTTCATCGTATAAAATTTTGTCTGATAATAATACATAGGCGTAGAACTTGAGTTTTTAAATAATTGCACCTTTAAAAATTTTACGCCAATGGCAAAAAAGAGGTTGGAGTATGAAATTTGGATTGGGTACTCATTTACTACAAAAAAGTACCCTTGATAACACTCGATTTACTCTCATGGTTTTGACAAAGTTTGTATTTTAATAATTATTGTTTATGTTCTAAAATTACTAAAATGCAAATTTCGTCAAAACTATGAGAGTAATCGAGTCTTATCAAGAGTACCTTTTTGAAGTAAATGAGTTGCGCAATCTAAATTTCATACTCCAACTCCTTTTCTTCCATTGGCGTAGAATTTTTAAAGGTGCAATTATTTAAAAAATCAAGTTCTACGCCTATGTATTATTATCGG